GTGAGGGGCTGAGGGCCGTTTTCAAGCTGGTCACACCCCTTTCAGGGAGGGGGGTCCTGCTGGGGTGCCTGGCCAGCCTGAGTGAGGGGCTGAGGGCCGTTTTCAAGCTGGTCAAGCCCCCCAGTGGGGACCCTCACCCCATGGGGATGTGGCCAGCCTGGGTGAGGGGCTGAGGACCATTTTCAGGCTGCCCACAGCCCCTTCAGGGTGGGGGAGTCCCGCTGGGGTGCCTGGCCAGCCTGGGTGAGGGGCTGATGGCCGTTTTCAGGCTGGCCACGCCCCCCCAGTGACCCAAGCTCCCAGCCTCTCCTTTTTTTTCTGGGATTTATTTATCTTCTATAATTGAAACTTTGTAGCCTTGAGCAGAGCTGAGGGCCGGCCCTGGGCAGGTGGGCAGGTGGGAAGCTTGGCTTCCTCCATCACCGGGGACAACCCAAGCCTCCTGCTCGCTCCAGCTCTGTGGCCGCCATCTTAGTTGGGTTAATTTGCATACTTGCTCCTGATTGGCTGGTGGGTGTGGCTTGTGGGCATGGCTTGACCATAGCAGAGGGATGGTTAATTTGCATGTTTCTCTTTTATTATATAGGATATTATATATACTATTTTGACATGTAGTTTTTTGCAGTAACGTAATTACTGCACAAATCTTCTAATTAATTTCCTTTCAATGTGCATGAATCCATGCACTGGGCCACTAGTATGATTATAATTTTAAAAGTTGTTTGTTCAGCTATCTTCAATTTTTAACCAATTAAAATAATAATCCAAAATAATTTTTTGAATACATAATTCACTGTGGTGAATAGTGTGCATTTAAATCTTTGTCTGCATCTGATTTTCTTCTCAGGCCATAGGTGTGAATTATTTTTCTTGTGTTTCATTTGTTTATATGTGTGTGGTGGATCCTCTGATGGACAAGACCAAATTCAGACAATATGTTCGTGTAACACAGGAATGTGTTTGGCTGTCACTAACAGAAAACTACACGTAGAGTAACTGAAACAAATAAGGATATGTTTGCTCCATAGTAAGCAATGTGGAGGCTCAGGGACCAGCATCTCTGACTATTTCGGCCTTTCCTTCCAGCTCCAAACATCAGTCACACATTCAAGTAAGAACGTCAGGGAGAGGCTGAGCAGCACCAACCTTGACTTCCCTTTGATCAAGAAAGCAGAGGCTTTTGGCCCTAACCGGTTTGGCTCAGTGGATAGAGCATCAGCCTGTGGACTCAAGGGTCCCAGGTTCGATTCCGGACAAGGGCATGTACCTCGGTTGCAGGCACATCCCCAGTGGGGGGTGTGCAGGAGGCAGCTGATGGATGTTTCTCTCTCATCGATGTTTCTAACTCTCTATCTCTCTCCCTTCCTATCTGTAAAAAATCAATAAAATATATATTTTTTTTAAAAAGAAAAGAAAAGAAAGCAGAGGCTTCAAAGCCCCAACACCCTCCTGGGTGGACCTCATTGTCTAGAACTGCTCACACGGCATCCACAGCTTGGAGGGTCTGAGAAGCAAGAGTCTCTCTTGGGACTGGGCACACTGCTGCCTCAAACCAAAGCAGATTGTGCTGCCCAAAAGGGAGGAAGACAGGAGATTGGGGAGAGAGCTGACAGTCCGTGCCATGGGCTTGCTTAACATTCCTAGCTTGTAGGATGCATCTACATGCATTATCCCCTCAGCCCACCTTTTCCCCACACACTTTCGATTATGATGGGGTAGATGTATGCACCACTTGCTCTTATAAATTTTTCATCAGTTTTGTATAACTTTAAAAAGCTATTACACCCAAAGAGCATTCATTTCCTGGATGGAGCCATTTAATTTAAGGTAAATAACTAGATTACCTGCGAGCTGCTTCCTCCAATAACTCTGAGTTGTTCTAATGCAGCCATAAGCCTGGGGGAGAAAGCATAAACGAAGTGCTGCTTTCAGCTCAAAATAAAGAGAAAACATTTTAATTTCTCCAAACTATTGCAAACTAATAAATACATGAAAGGAACAACCTGGCAAAATAAATTGGTCTCCTGGGTTATCAAACCTTTCTCAGCATCGCGCTGCAGAAGAAAACGCCGGGCTTAGCTTTGAAACCTCAGTGGTGTGCTCGATGTGAAGAACATCTGAAATGTGTTTTGTTAGAGCTGGGAAAGGGAGAAATGGTTTATGTTAAATAACACTTTGAACTGATGACATTAAAGAACCAATCGCTTGCTTTTTCCATTGTTGTTCAGTACAAAACCCCAAAAAATTTTCACTCCAAATGGAGCCTTCCTCAATCCTTTGTAGGATTCCAGGGCCATTCAATTGCTTTTCCTCAAAAACACCTTTGATCAGAAACATCAGATTAACCCAAAGCTCAAAGCCGGTATCAAGTAATTTTCACTTCTACTCAGGATTCTATATTCACACATTCCAGCTTCCAAAGGCAGGCTGGCGTGCGGCGCGGGGCAGGTGCTAAATATTGTGGAGAGAGCTACAAAGAGGAGAGATTAGAACCTTAAAGTGTATGTTTGGGGGGGGGGGGGAAGGCAGGCATACACATACACCCAGAATTCTCGTTAAGTTTTTACAAAGCCGAGTAATCTTTTACCCGCCTGTGAATCTTAATACTCAGCATGCTCCACTCTCCACTGCCTTCTTGCTCAATGCATTTCATTTTCACTTGCTTACAGGAAGGCAAGATCATGCCAGTTAAGTATGAAGAAAGTTCTCTTATCTGGGTGGCTGTAGGCCAGCCCGTGAAGGACAACAGCTTCTTGAGCGCCAAAGTCATAGAACTCTGTGGCGACCTCCCTATTTTCTGGCTTAAACCAACTTATCCGAAAGGTAACATTTTCAAGTCTCTTCATGCTGCGTGGAAGGCTGCCTGTCCGTGTGAGGTCCCTGGGAGCCCCTCCACGGGCCTGAGCTGTGACGGGAAGGGGGATCAGGGTGCACAGGCAGGTCTCAGTCATTGGCCCGAGAGCTTTGAGAGAAGGAAGGGCCGCCCTGAGGTTGCAGAGCGGCCAGCAGCAGGGTTAGCAGGAAGCAACCAGGCATCCCAGCCTGCTGCAGGGCCTGGTCTCTATTTATGACGCTCCCACTTCTTTCCACTCTGCCCCATCTCAGTTGTTTGCACTTCGCAATTTTACTTTTTTTTTCCCTAAGGCACAGAATCCATGGACTGAGACGCTGAATCTTTATTATGTTCAAACCTAGGATTATGGGACAGCCAAATGCGGCTGTGGGCAGAGGTTGAGATTCTTTAAGTTCTGGGCTCAAGCGTCAGCCTCCAAGTTCCATAAAAATAAATGAAGGGCCCTGGGTTCTGAGTGAGGTCCGAGCACACCTTGCAGCTGTTTCCGGGTGGGGAAGGGCAGGTGAGCCCCGCAGGCCAGGCTCTGTCCCCTTCGTTCCTGTCCCCAGGGCTGTCCTCACTCTTTATTTCCACCACAGTCACCCCTCTGCCCCCCACCCCCCAAAAAGGCCGGCTCTGTAGCTCTGGCTCAAGTGTGGATAAAAGGCCTTTCTTCTAGCACAGCTGAGATAGGTATGTTTTCTAAAAAGATTTTATTGAACATCAAGATAAAGCAGCATGGAAATAATAATGAAAAAATGCAGGCATTGAAACCAGGCTTGGGGGTAAAATGGGCAGTTACTGTTAACGCTGCAGGGTTTCAGTTTTGCAAGATGAAAACTATTCTGGAGATAGACGGTTGCATAGCAATGTAAATGTACTTTATGCCACTGAACTTTACCCTGAAAAAATGGTTTAACTGGTAAATTTTATGTATATTTTACCACCATTTATTTTTAAAAACCTCACCAAGGCTTAAAAAATCCAGACTTCTGATTCTGCCATGGCTGACTTAATCCTACCGTTCACAAGTCTTATTCTGTCCCAGAGCTTGGCAAATAGGATTCAATTTATGCATCAGTGGCCATGGCTGCCTGGAAGAGTGGGTTAAGAAGGACCCTGAGGCCACAGGCAGGCTCGGTAAGAAATAACACCACGAGCAGTGTTTGTCCCGACTGTTGGGGGCTGGAGAGAGGGCTGCCAAATGGACAGCTGCTTTTGTCATCCTGCTCTTGCCCAGTAGGTGGTCCCAACTCACAATTCTGTGGCCACTGGCCAAGTTCTCACTTTCAATTCCCCACCTGCCTCTACATGGAATAGGCCTTCCTGCTTTCCACACCCAGGAACTACTTCTCCAATACCTTGTCACCTTTTCCAGTCAAGGACAAAAGTCTGCAACTCTGCTACCATGGATGATAACCCTCCCCAAGCACTTTCTGTTCGAGGACAAGCCTCTTACCCAGGGAGTTCATTCATTCATTCACTCACTCATTCATTCAGCAAACATTTATTGACATATTTATTATGTACCATTTACTTGTTCCAGGCACTTGGAATGCACTGGTGAACAGAACAAACAAGAATCCCTGCCCTCGGGAGTTTACATTGTTAGCAAGGGGAAACAGTAATAAACACAAAGTTACAATAAGAAAATCATATGGCAAGATGCAAGGTGCTAGGGTAAAACCACAGCAGGATGGGGGGTGGGGGGGTTTGGGAAGATGGTGCTATTGGCAGTGCTAGGGACTGACAGCCTGAGTTCCTGGGGAAAGGGCTTGTTTCCTGCACCCAAGATGTGTTGTGGCCCCTCCCAGCCCAACAGCATGACCACGTTGTAAGTATTCAATCATCACAGCATCCATATGAGAATTACATACATTACGTCCAACACCAGAACAGTGGGAATCACCGAAATGCCCTCCAGATTTGAAAAGGATTAAATCAGTGTTGATGTAGCCATAGGATGGAATATCATAGACATTAAAAATGAGGGATTTTTATGTATTAACTATGTATGGTGACAGATGGTTAAAGTCTTGTTGTGGTGATCACTTTGTAAGGTATGTAAATGTTGAATCACTATGTTGTATACCTGAAACTAATATAATACTCTGTCAATATAATTAAAAGTAATTTTAAATGGGATTTTTTCCCAATCTCTCATCAATGCAGTCATATTTTAGAATAAAATTAAGGGGGGAAAAACCTCCTCTAAGGGGTGCCTCGCGCCCCATCACCTAATTCTAAGCCCCCAACTCCAGGGTGTCCAGCACCCCCACCCTTGGATCTTGAAGCTGGCAGGTCATCAGCATCACATGCTGTATTATCAGGGACACCGGTAATGGTAGCTAGACAAGGTCAGAGAGAAGGGTGACAGCTGATGTCTGCTGAGCTTTGGCTGTGTGTCAGGCACTGTTACGTATTGTCCCCATTTAATCTTTACCAACAACTGTCTGCGTAACTACTAATGATCCAATTTTATGGATGAACAAACTAAGGTTCACAGAGATTAAATAATTCACCTGAGGTCATTAAGTTAAAAGAAGAGGAGATTTTAATCCATGTCTCCCTGAAGCCTTTCCAACAATGCCTCAGAAACCAAGAGGCTAACCACAGCTATAAAGCACATCTAAGTTTTCATAAATAATATAGCATGCTATAATCACCACCACCTATGAATACGTATTATATGAGTTCCTTGGGAAATGAACTATGCTAAAATCCTTCAAATTGTTCGTTAACTCTATCACAACCCTGTGAGATACCAGTAGATACTATTATTATCCCCATTTTACAGATGAAACTGAGACTCAGAGAGATACCAAAGTCCACCCTGTGTGGTCTTTTCCATTGTTGTTACTCGGCAGCCGTAGGCCATGCTGCGGGGCCCACCACGAGGCAGTGTGGTGAGCTAGAGCACTGGGCTGGAGGTCAGAGTGAAGTTTACCTTCAGTTCCTATCTCTTCCATCACCTCTGTGACCTTGGCTAAGTCACTTGGTGTTTCTGGAGCCTCGTGCTCTCATGTATAAAAGTATCTGCTTTTTCTATTCCATAAGATTTCTTATAAGAATCAACCAAGATAATAAATCCCCTGAAAACTGTAAAGTTTTATACATATACTAGAGGCCCGGTGCACAAAATTTGTGCACAGGGTGGGGGGGGGGCCCCCTCAGCCCAGCCTGCACCCTCTCCAATCCGGGACCTCTTGGGGGATGTCCCACTGCTGGTTTAGATCCAATCCCCAGGCCTAAACCAGCAGTCAGACATCCCTCTCACAATCCTGGACCGCTGGCTCCTAATTGCCCACCTGCCTGCCGGCCTGATCACCCCTCACTGCCTCTGCGTGCCAGCCTGATCGTCCCTAACTGCCCCCCGCTGCCGGCCAGGTTGCCCTCAACTGCCCCCTCCCTGCCAGCCTGGTTGCTCCTAACTGCCCCCCCCCACCAGCCTGGTCACCCCTTACTGCCCCCCTGCCAGCCTGGTCTCCCCCAACTGCCCCCCTCTGCCAACCTGGTTGCCCCTAACTGCCCCCCCCCACTGGCCTCTGTTTGTTCAGTCGTTTGGTCATCCCTCACTAACCCCCCTGCCGGCCTGGTTGCAGGCAGCCATCTTGTGAGGGTGTGATGGTCAATTTGCATATTACCTCTTTATTATATAGGATAGTCACTCCACTATGAACGCATAGGGCTGCAAGTAACAGAATACCTGACCAGCAGTGGTTTCAGCAACTACAGGTGGAATGTTTTTCATATAGCCAGAAGTCTGGAGATATGTTTCTGGCATTACCAGCTACTCTGTGATGTCATCACATCTCTTTCTACCTTAGCATTTTCCTTCCCATAGCATGCTGCTCATCATCCTGTGCCTATCACTTCTGGTCACAGGTCGGCGCCCTTAACCCGGACATCACATCTACAGTCAAGAAAGGAAGACAAGACATAGGAGGCCTTATCTACCCCCTTTTACCAAGAAAGCAAAAGCTTTCCCAGAACTGCACTAGCATGTTCTGCTTGTGTCTCACTGGCCAGAAATGTGTGATTTGGGCACTCCTCGTTACCAGGCAGGCTCGGGAAATGAGTAGTATTTTACTTTCTTAGCTCCTAGTATAGAGGCAGGCAAAGAAACACAGGATTGTGGGTGGGTTTTGTCAGCTATCTTACAATATCTACCTTAGTTAGTATTATAAAATAAAATTTTAGCTACCTGTACATTTAACTACTAACTCAATACTAAAACCTGCATTATTATTACAAAAATCATCAGTACAAATTTAAGTGGTATGTAGGTGTGTCTATGTGTCTTTTTTTTGTTTTTCATCCTGATAATCACAGACCTTCCTTAATTATTCAAATAAAGGAATCAACTTGCAGCATTTATTTCATTCATTCATTCATTTTTGCAGAAACTCAGAGGGAAAGAAGAGAATTGGTAACACAAACTGTTACAACTACCACCAGAAGACCACGCAGTGGACCACGGGGCAACCCAGGCCCTGGAAGACTGAATAACAAAACCAGACCCAGCGTGCAGGAGGACTCAGACCCCTTCAACCCGGACAACCCTTACCACGTGCGTACGCTGCTTGTGCCACATTCTCAGATGAATGCATTAAACCTGCACTGGAGTGGTAGTATTTCTAGAGGTTTCAAACAAACATTTAGTATCCAACTGAGACTTTTACTCAATATTTTAAAAAGGTGTCTTCATTTGTTTGTTGCTGGGTTGATAAATGCGATGAGAACCTCATTCAAAGCTGCTTTCCCTGCTCTCCTTTTCTTGAGTCACAGGCAAATCCCTAAGACAAAGTCATACCAGGAATTTATGTTAAAATGTTTCCAAGAGTGTGCCCTGGGGGCAGCACACAGAAGGAAAGTATTCTTTCCCCACTTTGTATCCACTTTATTCACCCATTCAGCAGACATCTGTTGAGAACGTGCTTATGCAGGCCCTGTGCACACGGGCAGGCAGGACCTTCTGCCCTGGGGACTCTCAGCCCACTCTGCAGGCAGGTCAGACACAGATAAGCACTTTAGAATCTGTGCTTGGAAGGATGGTGTTTGGAAGGATGATACTAACATCCTGAAAACTTATCAAATCTTCCACAAAATATTTTTTTTAAATATTATTTTATTGATTTTTTACAGAGAGGAAGGGAGAGGGAGAGGGATAGAGAGTTAGAAACATCGATGAGACAGAAACATCCATCAGCTGCCTCCAGCACACTCCCTACTGGGGATGTGCCTGAAACCAAGGTACATGCCCTTGACCGGAATCAAACCCCGGACCCTTGAGTCCGCAGGCCAACGCTCTATCCACTTAGCCAAACCGGTTAGGGCCACAAAATATTATTGAGAATTCGTATTTGGAAGGATGATACGAACGTGTTAAAAACTTACCAAAACTTATCAAATCTTCCACAAAATATTATCTACTATGACTATACTTTGCAGGAAGTAGAAAAATAAATATTTATTGTAACTAGTGTTTTAATGGAAAAAATAATACATGCATATACTTTTTAAAAACAGTATAAGAGGGTATACAATTAACAGTGAGTTTCCCTTCCATCTCAAACACCCTCCCCAGAACAACCTCTTAACAATAGCTACTTGCCCAGTTTCTTTGCTTAAGTACACACACACACACACACACACACACACACACACAATTGAACACAAAAGAGCATACAAAACTCCTAGACCTTGCTTTCCAGTTACAATAAGGTATTTTGAAGATTGTATCTCCTATCTAGATCTACCTCCTCCATTTTAATGTCCACATCGTATTACTTTGTGTGGATAGATGTACAACTTCACTAGTTCTGCTTTGGTGGACATGTAAATTCTGTCTTTTGCTGTTAGGCTTGTGGGAAGGTGAATGAGGTGAAGCCCCCACTCCACACACTGCTTGCCACATGGTACCCATTAAATTGCTTTAGCTATCAGTCTTACTGCCCCACTTGTACACAAGGGAATATATCTTTAATATAAATACTGACTCTTGGGTCTGCTGAGTCAATGTAGATAGGAATTTTATATTTTAATAGAGGATATCATATTGTCTTCCAAGAAATTATACTAGCTACATGTGTTCAAATAGTAATAAAAGGCCTCTATTATCAAACTTAAAAAGAAGCTTTACCAGTTTTTGGGGGGTGTAAAATTTATCTCCTAGCTGTTTTATCATGCCTGTCTTTAATTATATGCAAGATCGAGCATCTTTTCGTATACAGAGAAGCCATTTGTATTTTTTCTATGCAACCTCTTCAGGCCCATTCCATTTCCTGTGCTGCAGATATATTTTCTAATTTATCATTTTAGACTAATATATTTTCCAAAGACTTAGAGTAAAAAGTATTTTTAAATAGCTCAAGGCTTATCAGAAAATTCAGGACACCACAGTACTTCATTCCCTAAAACTCAAAGAATAAGAAAGGAAATAAAATCTGAATCGGCAAACAGAAAATTTAATATAGTTTATTCCCCAAGTAGCTGGATTAGATGAATCTGGTTCAAGGGGTAAAGGCATCAGCCCCTTTACAGGTGGGGAGGAGGGCTGTGTCTACCTGGCTTCCAGGCTTGAGTGTCCATATTCTTTTAAAAACTCCAACTACATCAGTTTCCCCCTTTGCTTTGTGTTCACCTTTAAGCAGACACCTCTCCATGACCTCAGTCCTTCACATATTTCTTTAAGGTATCTTAGAGCAACAACCTGAGATTCCCTCGCAACATTTTAATCCTAACAAGGCTTTGCTGAACCCTCAAGATTAAAAAATGTCTCAATCAACAGGCTTTTTGCCTCTGTACCCTAGAAGAATCAGCTACAATTAGTGAGATGGTTGTCTTTTTTTTGTTGTTGTCCCAGATAAGCCAAAAAGGGGTGGGGGAGGGGTCTGAAAAATGAAAGAATGGTATGAGAGGAAGACAAATATTGTGATGACAAAAATTTAACAGGAATGTTAATTTTGTTAGGTGTGATAATGGCAGTGTGATTGTGTAGAGAAATATTCTCTTATTTGGGAAGTAACATTCTAATGTATTTATGGGTCAAATATGACAATTTTAAAGGTCGGGGGGAAAAAGCAAGCAAATTTAACAAGTTAGCAATTGTCAAATCTAGATGATGTTCAGTATACAATTTTCTTCACTTCCAGTATGTTTGAATCTTTCATAATAAAAACCGCCATCTCCCTCCAAAAAATTTGAGTAGACTTTTTATACCAGAACAGGTGACAGGGGTGCTGAGTTCACGCAGCTGAAGCCTGTGTTTGGTGCTGCATCTGCCCAAGTTCACCTACCTCCAGGAAAGAGGCTTAAATTGAACAAAGGATTTACTTTAACAATAAGGGCTTCTGAGCAATGAAATTCAATACCATATTAAAGAGGATAGAGAAACTATACCCCTAGATATCCATAAAAAGGAAAGCCAGATACGTAAATTTGGCAGGGGGACAAGTTCCTTCCAGCGCTGTGCTCTCCAGTGGTGAGAAAACGCTGTTTGTAGGTAATTTTTACTTCATCAATATGACTTTATTTCTGTAACTCTAATCATGGCACACAGGAACAAGAAGGCAGTTTACGGTCTGGAATTTTCACACATTATGTGGGGCCTTTTCCTGAGGGTTAGAGCCCCTTACATTGATGTAAAGGCAGGAGCTAAATGACTCCACGGTGTCTCAGCCACTACAACCGGAACAGCCACGTTGGCCTGTCAGTGAGTCCCAAAGTGTGCGCCCGGGAGGCCTGGAAGCCATCCCTACGGAAGGACGAGTTCCTGCCGACTTAAATTAACAGCGACAGAAATGCTACTTTTGAATCATGACTCCTTTTTGTTTGCCTATTTAAAATAAGATGAGTCCCTATTGAGTGGTGATTGTGGCTCATTAAAGCATGGAGACACTCCACCAATATTTACAAAAAACACCTTCCTGCAGTGACAGATTAGGTAGGTGAAGTTCCTGGATGTTAGAAGAAATTCTGAACTTCTTAGAAGGTTATGATTGAAAACTCCTTACAGAAAATTATGCTGCTTTCTTATAGCAATGAACATTCAGGATCTTATTTTTTAAAAATGTGTTACAAACTTCTCATTATGAAGAAAACCCAAATAATTCTTTTATTTCACAGCAGCAGGAAGGGGAAGGCATGACATTCGACCCTAGACTGGACCACGAGGGAATCTGCTGCATAGAGTGCAGGCGGAGCTACACCCATTGCCAGAAGATCTGTGAGCCCCTGGGCGGCTATCAGCCGTGGCCCTATAATTACCAAGGCTGCCGGTCGGCCTGCAGAATCGTCATGCCGTGTAGCTGGTGGGTGGCCCGCATCTTGGGCATGGTGTGAAATCACTCCATATACCAGGTGCGGTAAAGGAAGAAGTAACTCAAGAGACAACCAAAGTATGAAAACTCTTGATGCTGAAGGGACCACAAAGTATTTTATACTCAATCTGAGTAATGTTCTTTGAGACACTGTTAACAGAATATTTCTCCATTGCTTTACAGAACTTTATCCAGAATGTGCAAATGTACCGAAAGGGTAGACTAAAATGTCATAATAATTCTTTTATTACTTGCTATTTTTTATTTGCTTTGCCCATAAGGCCTGCTCATAAGATTTCCGTCCCAAGCCATTTTGAAATAAACATGAAAATTTACAATTTGTCCAAGTTCTCATGTACACTTGAGTTCCTTTTAATCAAGTCACTAATTAAGTTGTTCTGTTTTGTATAGAATTCCTCAATTGTTCTTAACCTTTACTGTTCTTCCCAGTCTTGCAAATGTGCTCCCAGAGTCTCCAGATAAAACACAAACAAGCCCGGGCCAGTGTGGCTCAGTTGTCCAGTGCACTGAAAGGTCTACAGTTCCATTCCCATCAGGCCACATGCCTGGGTTATGGGCTGGATCCCTGATCAGATGCGAGCGGGAGGCAGCCAATCGATGTTCCTCTCTCCCTTCCTCTCTCAAAAATCAATAGAAACATTAAAAAACAAACCACAAACAAAGAAGGAAAACAGGACAAATAATGGAATTTACCTGAAAGTAAACATTATAAACCTCAATGTGGTAGCTCATGGGAAATTCTCGATCTGGCATGTGAATAACAGGTAGCTGCCCTATGTTAGGAGTCACTTCCCGGAAAAGCATTAGGCTAACGAGGGGAAACGTAGCCAGAGATAAATCAGACTTGTGGGAAGAGGACTTTCATTGACATTCTGAAAAGAGATCTTCACACTCTTTTCAATAAGTGCTCACTGGGCATGAAGAAGCGTAATGATTTCTTCCTCTGGAATACAAATCAGGCTGTTGATGTAGTTCAATTACCAATTAGTTACTCTCCTAGTAATAGGGCTGGCTGCGGCTTGGCAGATACAGCTGAGGAAGAATAGCCTATTTATTTATAATGACATAAAGTCTCTCAGGAACACTGACAAGAACCAGGGATGTCTTTAGAAATTGAAATATTCAGATCAGGAAGAGGATCAGGTATTTCATATTTTTGGCATATTAGTTCTGAATCCCACAATCTGAGAGATAAAGAACTTTAAGGAAAATCAGTTTTCCAAAACAAGGATTCAGAGAGATGATAGGTCTTGATACCATGATCTTATTACATTCTCATATTCTAAATACACCTTAGTAGTGTACATTTAGTATTTTCCAATTTGTAAGATCATACAGAATTTTTAAAATCTGGTTATCAGATGAAGGCTCAGATGCTTGCATTTAAGGGAATATACAGCAAAGCAGGCTTCTGGAGAAAAAGCTACAAAGGAAATACACATACTGAACTATATGTAATGGCAAAGTGTTCTCAGGCAGCAGCTACTTCCTGCAGTTATGAATTGTACATGTTTAATCTTTGAAATGGTTAATGGTTGTCATTCTACAAAGCAAATATGTGCCAATGGTTCCACACACCATCTCCCACCTCACTGCCCAGCAACCTGTACTTGGTTCTACAACTAAATAAAAAAAGACTGATCCCGGCACAGAAGAGCCTGTGTGGTCTCGTGAGAGATATAGTCAGGATTCAGTACACCGAGGGCCTTGATAAAGACGGCAGCATTGGGCATCTTGGAGAAGATGACGCCTTTGCTAGAGCTTCAGTGAGCATGAGTTAGCCTTGTGAAAGTGACAGAGGAAAGGCATTTGAGGCAGAGGGAGCAGTCTAGTAAAGCCAGAGGTTTTAAAGTTAACTGATTCACTGAGGGGGAAGGAGGGAATTGTGGAGTACAAGTAGGCAAATGGAGGATTCAGGTTGAGGTAATATTAAGATAGAAATGTAGGCAAAAACTATACCTTATATTGCATGTTATTTTGAATTCATTTATTTATTTGGTAGGTCAGAAATAGGGACACAATCAAAGGTTTCAGGCAAAGAAGGGGCAAGAAGAGGGCTGGTTAAGTTTCCATTCTAGATGGATCACCTTAGTAACTCTCCATGTGAGAGCAGGTGCCAGACTTGGCAAGGAAGAAAGCATGTCATTAGAAAAGAAGGCTGCCTCCTGAAAAGATGCTCCCTTTTCAAAGCCCCACAATTAAGTGAAAATCTAGTAGATAATTTACTTCATAATAGATAAAGCAATTATGTTGTGTTCTGAAAAGTCACTTAGTACCCAAGGAAGGCAACTTAGGAAAAAAAACACCTATGTTTTAAGGGATGGGGGAAACTCAAAAGTTTGGTTTAAAGGTAGGAATGACTGAAGACTCAAATTTTGTTCAAAGTAGAAAACTAAAGGCCTACTTTGAAAGAGAAGAATCTATCCTATCTAATAATAGACAGATGCAAATTGACCGTACCTTCACTACATCCATTGGCTAATCAGAGTGATATGCAAATTAACTGCCAACAAAGATGGCGGCTAATTTGCATATACCGGCTGGGAGCAAAGACTGAAGACACCGTAGAAGGAAGCCAAGCAACGAAGCCAAGGTAGCTGAGATGGGCGGAGAGAAGTGGCAGAGACAGGCGGGGTAAGAGCGGCAGAGACGGGCGGGGTAGGAGCGGCAGAGAAGGGCAGGGTAGGAACAGCAGAGATGGGAGCGAAGCCCTATTCTTGCAGGAATCTTCCTGCAACGGTCCTCTAGTCCTATCTAAATAATAGACAACATGGTAATTAACCGTAACTTTGATACCCTTCCCATTGGCTAATCAGCAAGATATGCAAATTAACTGCCAACCAAGATGGCAGCCGGCAGCCAGGCAGCTGAAGAGAACAGGCTTGCTTGCTTCAGTGAAGGAGGAAGCCGAGGTTCCCCGCCTGCTGCTGCTGGGCTCTGAGCTTGCACTCTAAGAAACAATGTTGCAATTATAGAAGCTAAACAAACCCCATGCTTTCAGCCACCCCCCAGAGCGGGAGTTGCAACAGT